TATGGAAACAGTTAATAGTATTTTCAATAAGTTTTAAAAACTATAGGGAACATAAAAGCATTAGCCATTTAAGTGCACGAAAGTGACATGCAAATATTTGAGGTATACAATTACAGGGATCCAATTACAAAACTTGTACCAGTAATTGGTTACCTGCGCAGATTACGTGATAAATAGTTGTATGGAGAACCAATCATGATTGAAAATTTTGTTAGAGATACAACAAGCTGCTTCTTGTGGAGTTATTAAAATGGTTTGTTATACTGCTTTTTCTTCACTAGGCAAGACGAACATAGAATTACCTACATGTTCCCCTGATGAAAATCTTCCAAGGATCTTCACAATATATTCTATAAGATCTGCATCGAGGTCTTACTGATCATCCTAAAATCCATATCTTTCAGGATGTAAGGTACTTAGCCTTTGAAAAACTTTAAAGTTACATCTTCAAAAAATATATACTTACGTTTAAAAGGGGTGGTATTTTTGCCGAGTTTTTTCCATGAGAGTCCAAGACATTGCGGAGTTCTTTAATAGAGCCCTCATGTGACTAAACAACAAACACACCATCAACAAAAATAGGGATTACAATTTTTCATTTTTAGCTAGAATTACATCATGTAGTTTCAGGTGCATTGCTGTTAACCATTGAACAATATGGCTGGAGTATGTTACCATGAAGAAAGATCAGTATTTAATCGATCAAGAGTCACCAGCTTGTAATATTAGAATTAAATATGAATCACTTTGCATGCATGACTCCAATTTACAGCTTGCTGAAATATTGTAACCTACATGTATGTATCTTGACTGCTATTTTCAAGACAAAGGAAGATAAAAATTAGACTGGCTTGAATAATGTTTAATGTAACTCAAATTTAAACCACAGCAACACAATACATGTACACCATAAGCTGTGGCTGCATTTAGTGTATTAAATAACCATAAAAATTATAACCATACCCCTCACTTGGAAGGTTTTCTGATTTGTCTCCCCCTGAAAATTCCAGTTAAACAACATACCTTTCTCTCGAAGTATAGGCTTCAATATGCCCATATTGTTAATTTAGATATAACTTAAATAAATGCTATTTTTCATTTTTTCAAATTGTTGATTAAGACAATACCTTACAGAAACTTTGGTAAAACAGGAACAGCAATACTGACTGTCAGCTGATTTTTTTCACACCTCCCCCTCTCCTATCCACTGTGCACCTATAACTACCGGTACCTATCCATTAGGCCATGAAATTTCTTATTTCTTACTAAATACGTAAAAACGTTTTTTTGATCTCGTATGTAAATGTTGTATTTTAGGATTCTATGAACTATGATCTATATTTTATGAAGATGTCTGTTAAAGAAAACAAAACAAACAAGCTGCAAAAAAAAAATACTGCTTGAGAATACTATTTTTTTTTAAATCCTAACAGAATTATTCTCTAACAACTGCTTGGCATTACCATACAGAAAACCTATCAATACTTCAATTATTAGTAATAAAGTTTTACAAGTAACAAAAATATCGATCAAAAATAAAAATTACAATTAAACCACATTGCAGTCACCAAGACTCTGTTTCTCAAGGAAGACAGATGTTTGTATGTAAACAAAACAACGGTCCCTCGAATATAATATACATGAATATGTTTAAACTTCTGCAAACTTTATTCAGCTTTATTCTTTCGAAAATCAATCTCTTCTCGCCCTAGTTTACAATCAAAATTAGAAATTGATAAACTTATATCGCACATAAAATAAGCTAAGATAAGCTTAAATTATTAACTTTGTATAAACTCCAACCCTGATCGTAAATATTAACATCGTCTTCATATGATCGGATAAGCGAACGTTTTGGAGCAGTGCAAACAATATCGGAATGTACACAAGACGCTGTGAGGCTCGAGAAGGTTTGATCGACCAAAAACGAAAGCGACGAGAAATGTACAACGCTGTCGATGTTCTGTCCTGCACATTGCATTCGATGATAATTTGATCAAAGCCTTTTGCTTAGAATTAGCTCTTTATGCTGCTCTTCCTGACAATAACGAGAAGAGGTTAAAGTTATTAAAGTTTTGAAAGACAGTGGCAATTAGCGTGATGCCTCTAGGAGTTGAAAAGTCTCACAGGACTTACGCGCCGCGTACAACCTGCAATTTCTTAGACAAGTCTACTGACCTTCAGAACATCCATAATTACTTTCAATGTCGTTGCAACGCTTTCATCCTGAACTTCAATCGGTATCTGGGCCGTAGGATAAACACTTCGGGACATTTTCGATCCAAACAAACCGCCGCTCAGCTGCTGAAAAGGTTATCGTTTACACCAACCATTTGAATAGTGATATCCCGTCATTTGTTTGCATAGATCTTCAAATATGGCGCCTTTGTTCGTAGCCTCGCAACCGTGACGATAAGTTTCTTCGGGGAGGGCAAAGTAATTTTTCATCATTGAGAAACACTAAAGACTTAAAACTTTGAAATTTAATCAGGAAATATAAAGAGTTTTCAGTTACCAACTATCTTTAAACCTCGAATAAAAATCCAAATCTGTTCAATGAGGCCAAAAGGATGAAAGACTGATCTTTGGAAACCGTCTACTCATACGTCCCCTGTTAGATTTTATTGACACCACGTTCACCGCCAACTAGGGGGTCCAAATACCCACTGTTTGTTTATATCAAGGGGAAAATGTTTTTGAAGCAGCTTAAAAACCATTCTGCACTGCTGAATGATAGGGCTACTACATTAAAAGCAGCGAAAACAACAAAGTAGAGAAGCTTGGTTTTACAGCATAGTTTGTCTCTAGCAACACACGCACATCAGCAAGAGTACCTCAACCCAAGTCTCGAAGCAATAATATTGCTCCCCTTGTCCCTATTTGTGCGCACTCCGCAGCAAATGTCTAGATCTGTCAATATGTGGGCTCCTGAACTCCTTTTAATAGAAATAATCCCTATGGCTTTTTCATTTATGTTCTCGCGTCGGCGGAAAGAAAAAAAAAAAAGAAAGACAAGAAAATGATAATAATAGTTGATGGCAAAGTGCGGCTAAAATGAGGAAAACTTTCATTCAGATGGGATCTCTTACTACACAGGCTAGTTTTCTCTCCATTTTGCCTACATTTGCTGAGAAGTGTAGAAACTCTCATGTCTCTCTCATTCTTCAACACTTCTTTTTAGTTGGCTGAAGCAATTACCTATATACCCTACGGGCTTTATTACTTTATAGGGACAGCACACACTACAATCCTGGCCATAAGTTGTTGGGACACCTACCCTTTTTGCGCGCTAAAAACACGATTTTGCTACGTCCTTGACGTTTTAGAACAAAAGATAACCAGAAGTAAGTATAAATGACCACCCTCCCCCCTAGCAATGTTGCAAGAAAATGAAGCTATTCTAAAGACTAGATCGGATGT